CGCTCCAGTGCAGACCGGAACTATAACTTAATTGTCGGGCGCCGCGGCTCCTGATATTAATGCGCCGGCCCGAAAGTGAGGAAATAGTCCCCTCTCTCCCCGGGCCATACCACTTTATTGGAGAGCACGGGGGAGGCCGGGAGAGAGGGGACAGTTTGACATTATGAGGTTCCACAGGCTGAACCACAAATTCCCCCTCTAGTTCTCTCTAATGCAGATGGGCCGGTCTATGCAGACATGACGCCGCGACCCACTGCAGAGGGTGAGAACCACTGTTCTATAGTGTATATGACATGAGGGCACTGAGAGACATACCATCGCTACAGTGAGGAGGAGACGGGCTTCAGGGAGTGCTGTGACAGCTGGCCATTTCCAAGGATCGGGTGAGTCTAACTTTATTTTCCTCCCTAGAACAAAACAAGCAAATAACCCTTGCAGCCCACTGCAAGGGTTAATAAAAAATGTCCCCGGAGTTCTGCTTTTTCTTTAAGAAAAATGTCAATAGAGTTGGTGCATTGAAGATTTACATTAAAGTGTAGGTAAACCCTAAATCTATTTTTAAGTATGTTGAGCATCATGCCTCAATGTATACAGTGTTTTTGTGAATCTATTTTAAAGTTTCCTACCTGGAGATCCTGGAAATAACAACACTTTGTTTCATGTTTACAATGCTAAGCCACTTCCTTACAATTAGCAGCAGTGTTGTAGCAGCATGCTATGTGCTTTTTCAGTTGGCCTTTCGACTGTCTTTTACAGGGGTAGGCAAGCCCGGAAGTCTAGCTGTGTTGAACCTACAAATCCTGTCATGCCTGTGGCGTTTCAATGTCTTGTCATGCCTCACAGGCCCTGCATTTCCAAAACAGCTGAAGTGCTGAGGTTTCCAAACCCTGGTCTATTAGGTCTATGCATGCTTCCTGTAGAATTGATAGGCAGCCCGAAGGCCAGCATGAAGGAGCATGCGTGGCAGGCTGACAATGATGCTGCTAATTGTGAGGAAGTGGCTTAGCGTTGTCAGTCTGTAACAAAAAGTGATACACTAGGTAAGAAACTTTGCAACCAGTTCCTAAAATAATTGTTTGCTTTTAAAGACTGTATACAGTGAGGCATTAGTCCCAACATACTTAAAATAGATTTAGACTTTACATACACTTTACCAAAAAGCTTACTGATTGGACACTTGTGTTGGATTATGGTCCAGTCATGAATGAGTTCCACGCAATACACACAAGGCTAATGTGGGTTGGCCAATGACAGGTGACGTTTTTGTAAGATTGTAAAACCCATCACAACCTAGCACATGTTTTCTTGACTGGAAGTATTGGTAGTGCTCCTGCAATGGCCCTGGAAAGTAACTCAGCCCTACTTACTGATTTTAATTAACTGAAAGACAGCAGAGGAGGTATTATTTGTTATAAATATGTTGGCTTTTTTTTTGCTATCTTTGCGACTCTGCACCCCCCTATACTTTAAACAATTATTTTATTGTGTAAACAGAAGTTCTTTTTTGTGAATGAATGATGGTGAAACAAATGCATGTATATTAATAAAGAACTGACATTCTGGTCTGAGTGTATCAAGATCTGCAGCGCTTTTAGTTTTTTAAGCTAAAATGTTAATTTTATCTCAAAGTGTAAAACTATAGCCGAATGACACGTGGTTGGCTAAAACAGCATGTATTATGAACAACTGTAATTATTTTCTTTATTCCAAAACATACTGCTTTCACCTTTCTTTTCATCCTGGTTTGCACCTCAGAACTGCTGATCTCATCCAGCTTGACTGCAGGCACTTCATGGCACTTTCTCCAGTCATTGCTCAGGGGGGGTTTCATGACAGTGACAGTGATAAAGCATAGATTTGCAATATGCAGGGTATGGCCCCTTAAAGCCACCACTAGAAGTGCTAGTGACAACTCTGGAAAGCACTTGTGAGAGAGTGTTGTCACCCTGTAGAAGTGGCTGCCTTAAAAAGGACTTTTATAGTGGAATTACCATGTTTTATTTTGAGGAAGGATAGGGATTTTGAAAGATCTATAATAACTTTATATACATTACAATATGTGAAGGATTATATGAGATTTGAGTGAATCTACTTTAACTGGCCCACCATCTAACACTTCCAGTTCTGGTTAGGACAGTGGTCTGAGATGGTAAAAGCTAAAAAGGTTTAGCAGCCTGGTGGGAACTGACTGATAGTCAGACTGTTGGCTTTTTTTTCCCCCCCAAACCTTACTCTCAATTTGGCCATACACCTTAAGTTTTTCCTTGTTCAGTCCATGGGAAATCTTTTGATTCTGCCATCCACACTAAACAGGACTTGGGTAATGAGGTTGTTAAAGCAGCTGAAGATTCCGGTACTATAAATCCAACAGCATTGTTTGTCACATCACGTTCACTTATGTTTATAGTTTAGGTAACGAGCTTTGTTAGCTGATAGCTCTTATGTCTCGGGATAACTTGGACTTTGCAATTACAGAGACATAATTCAGGGATTTAAATGACTAGGAAATAACTACACTAGGGTAATAACATTACAGGAGTGACAGAGTAGGAAAGAGTGGAGGTGGAGTTGCCATTTATAGCATAAAACTAACAATAATTAAAAAACTAAAACAAATGAACTACTTGAAACCCTCCAAGTCTACCTACAGACGCTACAAGAATCTTCCCTTAGAACTGGTGTAGTATATGGGCCCCTAGGATAATCTGAAGATTGTTGATTGACAAGATAACTCAAATGACAATGAAGGAAGAGGTTTTAATTATGGGTGACTTCAACATGCTGGAGTTTTCAAACTACGCTTACAGGCAGTAGCAGAGATATTTGGGAGGCATTGAAAGGGATTTCTCTTAAACAGTTAGTAAAAAGGCCCAGTAGAGGAGATCATAATCCAGACCTAGTACTGACAAAAGAGGATTCATTTTCTGATGGGAGGTGGGAGGAAATTTGAGTTCTAGTGAATACCAATACCTTTGTAAAAAATCATATTTATCAATAAAAGTTTTAGATTTCAAAAGGACTCCATTTTTCTGAGCTTTCTAAAAAAAATGCACCAAAAGGTAAAACGACAGGAGTCGGTAGCGAGTGGGCACTATTAAAGTCTATCATGCTGGAGGCAAAAAGATTGTATATCAAGCAAATTAGTATGAGTAAATGGAAGAAAAAAACAATATGGTTCACTACAGAGGTAAGTAGAATAATTAAAGGAGAAAAAAAGGAAAACATATAGGAGATACAAGGGAACAGGAAGTGTAGATAATACATAAGTAATATGGGATTATAAAAATGAAAAATTGGGTGCAACAATCATGTCGAGGGAGACCTGGATATAGCAAACCGTTTAAACAACTACTTTGGTCCAGTCTTTTCAGAAGTAAATTACACAAACAAAAACAATTTGTGGGATCATATTGGTTCTAGAAGTGAAGGTTTATTTTCAGGGTTAGCAGGTGAATTCCCTTGTTTAAAGGTTAATAAAGCAATGGGTCCTGATGGTATTCTTCCTAGAGTTGTAAAGAACTTTGAGGTAGAGTTGTTGGACCCTTAAGTGATCTTTATAATCAGTCTTCTCTAACAGGAGAAGTTCCCCATATTGTACCTATCAACAAGAAGGGTAATAAGTAAGAAGCTGGCAACTACAGGCTTATGTTAGACTAATCAGATATATTTTGGTCCATGGTGATGTGGACAGAGCCTAATTTGATCTCAGCAAAGCATTTGATACTATTCCTCATAAAGTTAAAAAGGTTGTACCTCTGGAACACAGGCACTAATGCAGGCAATCGCACTGTGTGCGAGGGGCCTGCCTGCGCAGCCTACGCCCCCTCCCGCCCCTGAATGCAGGTGTTTTTTCGTTGGTAGTTCTCAATGAGCTCGTCATTTGAAAAGTAGATCTCCAGAAGAAAAATAGTGGGCACCCCTGATCTAGGACTTACCCTTGAGTGGTTAAGTAAATAAAGTTCATTCGAAACAGAGACCAGTCACTACTGGTGTACAACAAGACTCTGTACTTTGTCCTGGTATATCTTTTCGCTGATGACCCATAGGTGAGCAATTGTCCTGATTGTATTTGTAAATGGAACATGATTTGGCATTGCCGGAAAATTGTTCAAAGTGGAAACTACAGTTCAACATTTATAAATGCAAAACATGTCAGGAAAATAATTGTCTGATGGGGTACAATATTGCGTGTTCAGTGTTGGCCAAAACTACAGAGGAGAAAAATTTGATGGTGCTTTCCTCAGATGATGAATTAACAGTGAGGCCTGGCAGTGGGGAAAGCAAGTGCAATTCTGGGGTGCATCAATAGAAGGGCCACCAGCTGGAGGAAGGAAGTCTTAAATCCCCTATATAGGTCTTTTAGTTAGACCACATTTAGAATACTGTGTCTAGTTCTGGAGACCTCACTTACAAAAAGATATTGATAGGAAAGAACCAGAGACCAGGGCAAGAAAAAAAACGTTAAAAGGTCAGGGGATAAAGCATCAGGAGGGACTGCAGGAACTGTATATGTACAGTCTTAAAGTAAAGAGTAGTTGATACTTGAAACAGACTTCCAGCAGAGGTAGTGAGTCAGTCAAGACTAAGTAAATTTAAACATACTTGTGACAAACCTAGATCTCACCTTGAGAGATCCTGACAAAGTTTTCTGTAAAACAGGTAGGTAATGATAGTATGGGGTATCTCTTTAAAAGTGGTTCTTTTATCCTCTTTAAATTAAGCAGTAGTTAATTTGTGAGGTCGAGCTACTGTGGTAAAATACAGGTAGATACAAGATTTGTTACTCATTACAGAAAATATGGTACAATAAGTGTGTAAAATGTGAGTTGCATAAATAAATGCCTAATATGAGCTCTTTCCCTTAAATATACTTTTGGGATTGTGGTGGAGTTGAGTGTGATTTAAGTACCACAAAAACTGGAAATTGTTATTTTTTTAGTCACAACTGTTGCATCACATAATGAAACTCTTCATTAAAGCCGGTCACTTTCTTTTTACAGGGCTTTATGATGGAAAATCGAATACCGGGCTTAAAATGTGACTCTGATGTCTTTGTCACATTTGAAGGTGACAACGTTGTTATGCTACAGGTAAATGATTTGTCTTTATTATTGCAGCCATGTGATTTATAAATGCTGGCTTATGTCATGTAAAGGAATAATGCAAACAATGTCTCTCTATTGTGTGGACAGTAATGACACTAAAAGTGTTTAGAATGATCCTCCCTTGTAGTTAGAATTGCTGACATGCCGTTATTGTCTACAGCAATTATGTTGCATCTTGTCAGACTTAGTCGAAGTTGCCCCCAGTCATGACAGATGGAACAAATGGTCCATAGTAGTGTGTCCTACACAAGCAGTATGTAGAAGCTTAACAATTAATAAATGCTTACCAATACAATGCTTCTAAAAAACCCTGTATTTATTGTGTATGTCAGTTAAAGCTCAACTTCACTTATAATCTTTTTCCCTCTCATCCCTCCCTTCCACCCCACTCTAACCTATCCTGACAGGGGTAGATGTTTTTTTTTCTTACATTTTGAAGCATAATTTTCTGGCTCACCTCATGTCAGCATACTGTGGGTCAACTCCACCCCCATGACCTCCAGGACCACCTCTAACAAGCACATAAAAAGAAGGAAAATCCCTATTGCTGTTGTTTTTGTTGGTTGCTCCAGGCCACTTTTTCTTTATAGATATTTAATATAAGTTTTGTCTTAGCTTTATCCAGGGTATATGATTCCTCCCTTCCATTATTTCCCAGGTGGGTTCAGCCTCTCCCGCTCTGGAAGACCCTCCTGTTGGTGGTAAATCCACCTGATGAAGGGTTTCCTATTTGCCAGTGGCTATGTTTGGTGTTTTAAGGAAGCACATTTAGCCAAGTTTCGAGGTGAGTCCTTCTTTACCTCTCTCTCTGTGCTGTCCTTATAGCAGTGTGCGTGGGAGATGGCGTCTTGGTTGCTAAGATGCAGCTCAGCAGATTCAGATGGCTTTGCGGCTTCCTCGCAAGTGCACAGTTATGTTTGTGCAGCCGCTGGAATAGTGCCCTGAGTTGCTTGGCAGCTGGCGCATGCACAGTAGCCAGCCGTTGTGTTCTATCCACTGCTAGGCTCTTCGCTGGCGCCAAGGATAGCGTCCTAGTGTTGCTAGGCATCGGGTTGGCGCTCGTGCTCACTGAGATTCTTCTTCTTGTCTGGAGGAATCTCATTCTCACTCCTTTTCATTTTAGTCTTATTGCCCCTTTCATTGTGGCAGTTAAAGAAGCCATTAAATGGGAGAATTAATGAGGACCACCTAAGATGGTCTGGAGATACTTCCCAGGTCTTAAAAAAGAATGTTCCACTTTCCCCCTCATGCTGGAAATGAAGGAGCAAGTAGAGGAAGAATAGCAGAGACAAGATAAGAGCATTAATCCTCAAAACTGGTTTGCCAAGTTTAATCCGTTTAATGCGACAGATTGGTCATGGTGGGAATTGCAGTGGATTGCACTCTTCAGGGTTTAGCTCAACATGTGGCTCTGCTCTTGGATATCTCGGTTGCATTAAATATCCCAAGGATCAAAGAGTTGCTTTGGACCTTAAGAAGATGCATCTGGCAGGGGGTTTAATGTTATATTCAGCCTTAACCCTTATCTCTATATCTAAAGCTTAGAAAGTCGGGGTCTATAGTATTGATACTGCTTTAAGATCGGGTATAAGCTTCCCATATTCTGTCAGGTCTAGATGAGCTAAATTTAACTTCTGACTTTTTAGCAAAATCTTGAGTGGATTTGGTTCGTCCGTCTGCTCGTTTGATATCCCTCTCCATCACAGCTAAACGTGCACGTGCAATGTCGTGCTTAAGACATTGGGTCGCCGACTCTGCAAGCAAGCCTTATGTGCTGTTCCTTACTATGGTAAAAAGTTACTTGGGAAGTCTGGACTCCTGCCGCAGGGAAGTTGGAGAAGACATCAGCCTTTTTGTTCCTTCCAGTCGTCCCAGCAGAAGTTCAAGGATGCAAGATTGTATGAGCCCGGCAGACAGTTTAATCGCTCTCAGTGGAGAGGCACACAATGTTCCTTCCTCTGAGAAGCCAACTCAAAAGCAGCACAGACTGTTAAAGCAGGAGAGAAAACGTTCTGAAGATTTGTCTACCTGATTTCTGCCGTACGGGGCAATATTAGCCCAGTTTGCAGCAATCTGGGTGGAGGAAGTTTCTGATCTTTGGGTAAAGAAGGTTGTCAAAAATGGCTACAAAATAGAGCTGCTATCTATTCCTCCAGCTTGTTTTACAGAAACGACAGTCCCGGCAGAACCTTTTGAAGAAAAAGTCCTTGCTAACTTTCGTAGAAGAATTGTCTTCAGCAGTGACTATTGTTCTGGTGCCCATGGAAGAAAGAAGAAAGGGCTTTTACTCCACCATCTTATTAGTTCCCAAAGCCTCAGGGGATTCAGGACAGTGCTCGATCTGAAAAAAATGTAATGCCTTCATTAATGTGGTCATTGAAATGAAGTCGGTTCAAATTATCATGACCGGTATTCAGAAAAGTGACCGGTTGATAGAAATCATCCAATCAGATGCATACCTGCATGTTCCCATTGCCATCTCTCACCAGAGGTTTCTGTGATTTGTGGTTTGAGGCCATTATTTTTAATGTTGTACCCTTTCATTCAGCCTATCTACAGCCACCAGGACTTTTTTGAAAGTTTTTGTTAGTGATAGTGTTTATTCGCATGTAAAATGATGACACTTTGGTTCTAGCCGAGAGAAGTCAAACGCAGTAAATCTATGGAAGAGTCATCTCATTCCTTCTCAGACTATAGAGTAACTGGGGGTGGTGCTGGTTTTTACAGAGCATTCCTGCCAGAGTGGAGGAAGTATGAATTTCGTGTTCATGTGTTCATCAAATATCTCAGATCTATTTCCTCTCGGCAAGGGACTGTACACTGAGTGGCCAGATTATTATGACCACCTGACGTTTGTAGACAAATTAGCTATAATTTTGTGCTGAAGTTGCTAGAGGGCCAGACCATTATAAATAGGGTAGCAGTTTGTTTACCACGACAGTAGAAGCATATCTTTTTTTCTGAAGATATGGGTAAACAACATGATTTAACAGCCTTTGAACGTGGGATGATTGTTGGCGCTCGGAGCCATGGAGCGAGTATCAGCAAAACAGCAGAATTAGTTAAATGTTCAAGAGCAGCTGTTGTTAAAGTGTTTAAAGACTGGACTGTCAGCCGAAAATATGGGTCTGAACGTGCGAATTGTGGCTGTCAGCAACAAGTCAATGTTAGGGCAGAATGGAGAGTGGCAAGACTGGTACAAGACAACAGAAGGGCAACAGTGCATCAAATTACTGCAGATCCTAATCAGGGATCCTCTCAAATGATCTCTGAACGCACTGTTCGCCGTACACTGCATCGTATGGGATATGGAAGCCGAAGGCCTGTTCGAACACCTTTGCTGTCTGCAGTTAACAAGATAAAACGTCTCCAATTCGCACAGGAACACAAGGATTGGACAGTCGAGCATTGGAAAAAAGTAATGTGGTTCGATGAATCACATTTCCAGTTGCATCATGCAGATGGCAGAGTGAGAATTTGGCGGGAACAGCATGAGAGCATGCACCACACATGCAGGAGTACAGCCCTTCAAGCTGGTGGGGGCAGTGTTATGGTTCGGGGCATGTTTTCCTGGCATGATTTGGGCCCTTTAATTTGTGTGGAACAACGTCTGAATAGCACAACATCGTTGCTGATCAAGTTCATCCTATCATGTTGATGGTGTATCCCAATGAACATGGCTTCTTCCAACAAGACAATGCGCATGCCACGGTGCTCGTATTGTGCAGGAGTGGTTTCAAGAACATGAGGGAGACTTTACCTTGCTTAGGTGGCCCCCACAATCACCAGATCTCAATCCAATTGAGCATTTGTGGGACAAGTTGAAAGAGTCATCAGGCAGCTGGTTCCACAACCATCAAATCTCACAGAACTGGACAGTGCTATTCATCAGGCATGGCGCCAGATTCCTCGCATCACCTTTCAACATCTTGTGGAGTCAATGCCAAGAAGAATCGCTGCAGTATTGAAGGCAAAAGGTGGCCCAACGAAGTACTGATGGGGTTGTCATAATAATCTGGCCACTCAGTGTATATTTCTTCTGGAACTGTTGCATTCCAGAAGTGACGTAGGCTAGCTGGCACTTGAGGGGATTTCAGATGTCTTTTCTTCGACATTGGAATCAGGTTTCCTTGGATCAGAAAATGATTGTTCTTTGTCCAACCCAGTTAGACCTGATGTGGTGGATGCCCCCTCCATTCTGTCACTGGGCATGCCTCATAGCTCAGAAGACTGGATAATTCTTACTTCAGATGCCAGTCTCCAGGGCTGGGGGGCTCACTGCCTAGTTTGCCAGGTGCAAAGACGCTGGCAGAAACCTATGCCTTGGAGCTCAAACTAATTGGAACTGTAAGTTGGCCTTCTCGTTCTCTGGGCCTTCCAAGATCTTCTGGGGGCAAGTATGTCAAGATTCTTTAAGACCACAAGACTGTGGTGTCTTATATAGCCAGACAAGGTGGAACCAAGAGTTTTCCTCTCTTTACAATTGCAGGCCACATATTTCCTTGGACAGAGTCACATGTTTGGGCTTTGACATCCTCTTAACTGCTTCACAGACTGTCTAAACAGAGTCTTCCCGAACAATTGCAAAAGGGAGTTAAACAGCAAGTACCTCCATCCTGTCTCCAAGATGTGGAGAACCCCAGTGGTAGAGTTGATGGCGACACTAGACAATACGATACGAGACAGATACAGATTCCAGGAAGCCCTAGTGCAAGACGCTTTCTCAATAACTTGTACTTTTCCATTTATATGTCTTCCCGCCAATTCCATTGGCTCTAAAGGTTCTTCAAAAATGTGTCAGGAGTTGGTTCACGCCATAGTGATCCTGCTATACTCGCCGAGAAGGCCTTGGTTCCTGTTAGGTGTTGGATATGAGTTCTGCTCCTGCTCTAGTATTACCAGTGAAATGGGATCTTCTGCTGCAAGGCCACTGCCAACATCCAAACTTGGCTCTTCTTCATTTAGTGGCCTGGCTATTGAATTGG